TGCAATTCACCACAAGGATTCCAATATCTTGAGTCTTGATACCCGTTTTCGCCAACAGCTCGTCGATGGCTCCAAACATCACCATCTTTGCCTCCTTCCTCGCCTCCATCCACGACCGGTTCTGTGGAATTTTCATAATGCTTGGCGGGAAATATGTCTTCTGTCCGAACCCCGACTTCTCCAAAATTTTCCTCTTAAAGGCTAAACTCTCTTCAGTGAAGGAACCAACTTGTCTACATCTGTCAATCACATCCTCCCTACTGCACATTAAAGTTGGGTCCGGCTTAAAACATGCAAAATTCACCAAGTAAACCTTTCTGGGATGACTCGCAAAGTAGAGGGTAGCTATGAAAATAATGAGTTGTAAGCATACAATCAACTGAGAAACATTGAAATTGAGGTGGTTCCATAGTTGCAATATGTCTTTGACAGAAAGTGTTGAAAGGTGAAGTGATAGAACTCCTGCAAGTGGGATGAGCAAGAGGTACATGGTATTGGTGATCAAATAATGGTATCCAAGCTTCACATATTTGAGTCTCACAGTTTTGAGGTTGTAGTTTGGAATAGTATTGGTTGTGTTCTCAGGTGAATCTTTAACTGAAGCAGGCTTCGTTGGAGGGTTAGGCTTCTTGTCATACTCCATTATGCCTGCTCCTTAGTTGAAGATTTTGGACCAAGCTATTGTGTGGTGACTATAAAAATTTGAGATATATATAGGGAAACCCCATAAGGAAAAATCAGGGAAGCAAATGAAGTAAAATTTAATGGATGGCCGAGATGTTGAGGCACCTACCACAATTAGATGAACTACTTGCCATTTAATAATTGAACAATTTTATATCGATCAAAAATTGAGATTAAAAAAAATGATGTGACACTATAATAATGATACTTTTCGTCCCGCTTTTTTTCATTCAACTTTTAGATTTACTTACAATATCAATTGTCATATTATCTAGCCTCTAATTTTTGTCTAATTTTTTGGACCCTCAATAATTAAATACACAAAGCCCAATTCTACACCAAAATTCCAATCATAACTTAACTGTAAACTATATGAATTTAACTAGGGTTAATTACAATTTGTCCACTCAAACTATGCCTCTTGTTGGAATCTGCTCCCTATAGTTTCAAATGCAACAATTTGTCCCCTCCAAGTTTCAAGCATTCTAAATTGACTAACAACAGTGGTTGGAACATGAAAGTATTATTACATTCTCTATCTTATATATTATTCATCGTATTTTTTTCTTGAGATACAAATTCTATCCCTAAAAAATAAGGAAACAGAAACGTCAAGAAAAAAATACATCTGGTCAGCCCAACACCAACACACTGCACAACACCATGTTTGCATTCACCTCCACCTCCGGCCAATACCAACAAACATCCGCGCATGCACACATACACACACACTTTTTTGGGGGTAATTATGTCTTTTCAACAAATTAGAGATCGAGTGATTTTCTCCAGTCTAACTTACGTTAATATTTATGGTCTAAAATTAACAGTTGGAACTAATTACAAAATATTCAAACTTAAAGGCGGCTATTATATTTCATGAATTTTGATTTGAATATCAATATCTAATTTTATTATATTTTGATATACTCTAAAAGCTTAAACTGTTAGATAACATGTAATTTAAGTATTTATACTTTAACACTCTTTCTCACGTGCAGGCTAGAATTTAAGTTTAACATCTGAATTTTTTTTAATAATTTAAGTAGCGGCGAGATTGAAAACAAGATCTTATGCTCTAATACCATGTTAAACACCATTTACTTCAAAAGCTTATAATGTTAAAGAGGGTTTAACTTAAGTATTTATATTTCAACATTATACATTAAGCTTATAACTACTTGTTGATACACACGTGCGTTGCACGTGAATTACTTTGAATATGAGATATAGTATATTAAATCTCTAGAGCACTTTCATAGAAATCCGTATCTTTGGTAAATGCTGATGATTAAGCTTGTTAATAATCATGCTTTACAAGAAAATTCCAATATTGAATAAACCAATGTAATCTTATCCTCTCAATGACAAATGATTAAGAGAATAGAGTTGTGCTGACTCTTTTTTTGTTTTTTTTTGAACAGAATTGTGGGCCGTTTCACCATGAGAAATGGAGGAAAACTCTTCCCCATTTATATATTAAATAGAAAATGAATACAGTGGAAGACAAAAGCCTGGAATATGCTAAAAATCTAAAAATATTGATGATGACTAATTTAAGCCATAACATACCAATTAGATATTTAACTCTTATCTTTTTCTTTTTCTTTTTTTGTTATTTACACCTTTTATCCACGCATTGTCCCTTCAGTAATGCATATTTTTATACCACCCAAAACCAAATCACTATAAAGTATAAAAAAAAAAAAAAAAAAAGGGATCCCTACAAGATTTTGGACCAAAAAATGCAGATATGTTTTTCATATTGTCATCTTCCGTACAATTTATTCCCTATTACCATAAATCTAGGGGATATGAAAAAAATTTCATCCAAAACATAAAAAACATTTGCTCTGGGAAAAAAAGTCAAATCAATTTAAATAACTACAAGTAATATGACAAAATCAAATAGTAATATAAAGTTAAAAGGGAAACATCAAATCTAACTTTTATTTGAGAATATATGATTTTGGTTTGAACTGTGTTCACTAGTCCTCTTCATAGATGAGGGGTTTTATTTTTTAGGGATTGATGTTTGAGTATGAATCTTCCAACCACCAGCAACCCTAAGGGAGAAAAACAGCTATATGGCATGTGAACAAATGAGCATTTGGGAAGAAGATTCCCAAACACTAAAAGACAAATTTATTTAGTGATTTTATAAAATATATGAATTAATATAAAATATCTCAATTTATTAGATGAATTAATGATTTTATTTAAGAAGAGACATGTGAGAATGAAAACTTTGCTGGCTAGATGCATTGGTGGGCAAAATGACTTTACATTCAAAAAAAAAAAAAAAAGAATGTTACTTATGTTAGTAGTATAGATATTATTAGTAGTTGCTTATAATTTATTTCTCATTACCCAATAACAACCCAACAATCAACAGTTTATATGATCGCTATAACACAAATAATATTAATATTTTTATTACAACTACAAAAGGATAGTATCGTCACTCATAAGTTTATTAAGGCTGATATAGTCAATGGAAAAAATTTCACTTTCGGATAATATCGTAGTTGCTTTATTAAAGCTAATATGGTCAATTAAAGGGCCAAAATAATAAAATCTATAATATAAAATAGGGCATGCTTTAATAAGTTTATTCTACAATCTCAAATAGTATCACCTCCCAATGGCTACCAACATTTCTCTCAAAATTATTTATATTACATCGTGCCTTCAGACACGAGTTACCACTAATCAAAAAATATTGTAGAACAATCCACAAATAGATGAATTTTGCAATACATGCATAGAAGTACAATGTGCTAAAATCCTTTAAAAAAGAGAATTAACCAGACAAATCCCAAAAAATATTGGATTTCGTAATGCATGCATAGAAGAACAAAGTGCTAAAAAGCTCATAAAAGCAAAACTACCAGACCATTAGTAATAAAAATAAGCAGAGAAAAATGAAGCTAAAACTCAACACGTCAAAGAGATTAAAATTGGCAACCCTAAGACAACTCATGATCACCAATATCTCATTCCCACATGGCTCAATTCATCTATACAGCATTATAATTCTCATATACTCATTCTCTAGAAATTATGGTTCAAAATATAGGCTGATACCGATACGAGTCGGCTGAGTCAAACATGTATAAACCCCGAGTGTTGTACGACTTCACCGAGTCGTCTGAGTCAATTCCAAGTCGTTGAGTTATCGTCACTAAATTGCCCAATACGGTTCCACCACGTTGCGGTATGACTTGAATCTCTTCTCATGTTCAACTTTTTTTTTAAGATCATATCACCTGATACTGCGCCGTGACCAATGTGTCTCAGAGTTCTCCGAGTTGGTGGTCAATATCACCGAGTAATGCAAAATTTTGTTGAAATTTAAAGGTAATTTATTAAAATTCAACCCAATTCAGAGCGAATCGAATTTTTGGATCAAATATCCAATTTTTAACGAATTCAGGTATAAATTTGAAAACAAAATCTATTATATATCGGGGTTGAATTCAAACCAAATGAAACTCTATTCAATTTCATAAAAATTATCCAATAATAAACATATCATGTTAGAATCAAAATAAAATCAATCCAATTTTAGTAGGACAAACACATTTAATTTAAACGTTATCAATCATTAGGTGCGAATATCTACAGGACCTAAATTATCAATGGGTTCTCCAAGCACGTTAAAAATTCGTTCGAGAGTTGCTCTCCCAATCAGAACACTTAGCGGAGCTCACGTATCAATCACTTAATTCCTCTGTCACGACCCCGTTTTTATTTCCTTAATTAAATTTCATTTGTTTAGAGCAAAGTTCCTTAAATTTGTAAGGGGCAAACTCATATCTTCTTATCTTTTCACGTATTTATCTTATGTATCAATCATAAATTGAACACAACTCGAATATAATCGTATATAAAGAAAGAAAAAAATTCCAAACCCAAGTATCTACTTACACTCAGCCGTTTCTTTCTCTCTCAGCCGCCCTCAACAGCTCTCTCTCTCTCTCTCACACACACACACACACATTCACGCGCACACTCAATCACTCACTCACGTAAAGAAACTTGTGGTTATTACTTCTTCCCATTCAATGAAAGTCTTGATCCGTTGGTACATTGAATGGTAATAAACTACTTGGATTTGTTTAGTTTTTAAAAACACTTTCCAATGTGGTCTCCTAAGGTGATTGATTGGCTTTCACTTTTGAAGGTATTTCCTAAGGTTTCTTGTATAAATTATCAAGAATATAATATAGAAACTTGAAAACTGCATTTCACGACATTGGAGAACAAGACCATTTATTATTATTATTTATTTATTGGAATGTGATACAAGTTATTCACGTAGGACCCTAGTTGTAGTGCAATGAGCCTATGCTTCATTGGTGGTGTTTGGAGACTCAAGTCGAAGCTCAAGACTCGAATTGACCTTGTTCCATAAAAAAAAACACCTGTTTTTTTTTATTTTTATTTTGGGAGAATTGCATTTTGTAACCTGAAAGATTTAAAAATTCTCACTTTGTACTAAGATTACATTTCTCCTATTGTACCTTCAATATATTAAAAATGTTACAATGTAGACTCAAAAATTAATAGTCCATATTGTATACATTGAGAGTATAATATGATAAATCTAATATTTGAAAGTGTAAAGTGAGAAACATTAAAAAAAAAATTGCGTGTGATATTCTCCCTTTCTTTTCCCATTATTTTTGCCTATGTTTTGTAATCACCAATAAAAAGAAGGGCAATGAAAGCAAGTTTTGTAAATTCCTTATTTTACTACTAAAGAAGCTTTGTCGGCATTATTTAAGATAATAGACTTGTGCGATAAGTATTGTGCAAGGAAGCAAAAAGACTTTGATTTTCTTCTCATGACAAATGAGATTGTTCAGCAGGAGTCTTTTCATCATCGTCAACTATATATATAAAAAGGAATGGAGCTAGAGAATATCCTTCCCCGTCTAAGCTACCACGTTTTCTTGT